AGGATGGCTCAGCTGGTGTAACAACAAGATTGCCTGTTCGATGGTGGGCTATGCCCATCTGCAACTAAGATTGTGACACAGCACCTTGAGTTTAGAGGCCACGAGCTGCCTACGGGAAGCCAGATGGTGACTGGCGCCCTCCACAACTAAGATTGAAGAACAACAACTTGGCTGGTCCCCTTCCACAATCCCCCAACACTGTTCCCCTCCCCCAATTCCCCAATAAAATCTTTTTTTAAAAATGTAGACTTAAGAGGAGACAAGAGAAGCGCTTTGTAGGTTGCCCCTAATAGGGTCCCCAAAGATTTCCACTTCCTTCCCTTTAGGGTGGACTGGACTTACTGACTTGTTTCTAACAAATAGCATATGGCAGAAGTGATGAGATGTCATTTCCAAGATTAGGTAATAAAAAGACTGTGCCTTCCGTCTTGGACTCCATCCCTCCTCCTCCTTCTTCTTTCTTCTGCTCTCTCTCCCCCACTCTACTCCTTCACCCCCGTGCCCCTTTCACTAGCCCCTGATCATTTGCCCTGGGAAAAACCAGAGACAATGTTATAAGGCAGCCCTGAACCTTACCAACAGCTTTGTCACAGAAACCTTCAGCCAAAGGCACCCAGTTAAGCCATGTCTAGATTCTTGACCCACAGAAACTGTGAGATAATTAATATTTGTTGTTTTAAACTACTAAATATTGAGGTAATTTGTTACACAGCAATAGGTAACTAATACAAAGAGTACACAGTTGGCAACATACATTTTTTCCCTTATTCTAAGCCAAATCCTAGAATAATTTCTAGCATAGGGGAGATTTGATGACAAATAACCATAGCCTTGAGCACCAAATGTATGCTCATTCATGCTACTAAAAATTACTAATGGATTTTTTTTAAAGTCTTTAAAGATTATTGTGGCATTTGGGAGAAGTAGGTGAACTCCTAGAAATCACGTCGTATGAAGAGTGAAGAGATGACTGTGATCTTTTAAAATGTGAGTGATGGTCATGTGGGAAGAGATATGCTTAACTGGTTCTACGTGACCCTGAAAGGCAGAGCAAGAGGCAATGAGTGGAAGTTGCAGGCAAGCACGTTCTGGCCCCACTGAATTTTGCTGGTATCTCCATGAAACACCAAGAATAAAAGTTATGTCAACTGCTTGACTCTAAAAATCACATCAAGGAGCGGCTGGTTTGCTCAGGTGGTTAGAGTGCAGGCTCATAACACCAAGGTTGCCGGTTCGATTCCCACATGGGCCANAATAATAATAATAATAATAATAACAATAATAATAATATCAGAATAATTTCCAACAGTGACAGCTATTAATTTCTGGGTTGAAAGGCCAGCCAGTAACCAGCAGCCTGGATTTAAAAACACACACAAAAAAACCCCCACACCAAAGTACATCATTGAGAAATTTCATAAAGTTAGGTACTGGGCCACAATCTCACACATCTTCTTACAGTCCCTCTGCTGCAAACTCCTTTTCTCTCTGTCGAACAGCCCCTGAGGGTACCACTTCTAGGCTGAGTTGCTCCTCCACTTTTTGAATTGGATGAAATAGCATACCATGGAATGTGGGGCAGGGTTTCCAGGGAGCTGCTAAGGGTCCGGATGACATATCTGGAGACACAGACAAGTTAACTTTTGGATAATTCTTGACTAATGGAGATGGGAGATGGGAGGGAGCTGGGCAGATAGATACCCCCTCCTCTGCTCTCTGCTATGGTTCCTCCATGCGACCCTTTCAGAAGAGTCCCTTGTGCCCAGTGAACCAGCAGCCAATCTGGTAATGCCTGGCATTACACCCGCCTTCTCTTACTCTCTTTTTCCTTCTATGTCCTGTTATGAAGACTTTCAAACATACAGGAAAGCTGAAAGAATTTCATAACAAACACCTGTAAACCCATTACCTAGAGTTTACCATTAATATTTTAAACAGCTTTATTGAGGTATAACTAAAATACCATAAAACTGATTCATTTAAAATGTATAGTTTAATGGTTTTTAGTATTTTCACAAAGATATGCAAACATTATCACAAGTTTAGAATATTTTCATCCCAAAAAGAAATCCTCTACCCTTAGCAGTCATTCTCATTCCCCTCTCTCAACCCTAAGCAACCACTAATCTACTTTCTGACTCTATGGAATTGCCAATTTTGGACATTGCATATAAGCGGAATCATACAATAGTGGTCATTTGTGACTGGCTATTTTCACTTAACATAATGTTTTCAGAATTCATCCATGTTGGGTTCAACATGTATCAGTACCTCATTCCTTTTTATGGTTGTACAATTTTTCATTGTATATCATTAACCTTTTATTAGATTTGCTTCATCGTGGGCCTATCCCTTTGTCCATCCCTCTGTCGATCCATGAATCCATCACATCTTTTGTGTATTTCCACATAAGCTCACTTCCCTCTTTCCCAACCCTCAGCACCTTCACCTTGCACACATCTCAAATAAAGCTCATATCACATGACCACCCTAGGTGCAATGAAAGCTGGGAGGTGGAATGTTTAGCCTCCCGGCCTCTCTAGTAGAGGGATACAAGGGAAAAGGGAGACTTTTGCTACCTTGGCTTACAGCATTCTCAGTCTTGTATACATCTCTCCAGCCTCCCCTCCCACCACTGCATCCCACAGATCTTATAGTCCAGAAATGCCAAATTGCTTCAAGTTCCCTGAGCACCGCACGTTTTTCCTGACCCCATCTCTTGCACATGTGCATTACCTGGATAACCTTCTCTGTGTGCCATATTGTCCCTCATGATGCAGCTCAGGTGTCACTCTTTAGTGAAGTATCTCCAACACACACACACACACACACACACACACACACACACACACACACACACACACACCCTCTGGCTTCCCTGTGCTTGTTTTACATTCCCACTATGGCATTTACCCTGCTTTATTGAATTAACCTTTTGACCTGTCTGTCTCCACCAGCCTGTAAGTCTTTAAGGGCAGCAGTCAGGCCTTACATGTCTTGATATCCCTAGAACTCACTGTAGAACATGACTCAATAAAATATTTTTTGGATAGTGAATGAAAAACATCTAGCTACCATCTTTACTGTTGTTTATTTAACAAATGTTGTGTTAGGCATGCACCAAGTAAGGCCCTGCAGTAAGTACCTGGTTTAAGATGCAAAGATAAGTATTTCCTGGGCCTCAGAGGCGCCTACAATATCCTTTGTCTGGGCAAATGCAAAACTAGACAAGACACCAGGACAATAGATGTAAACTGGACTGTCCCAGGCAAACCGGAATATGTGGTCACCCAAATTATATATTACATACACTGCTTCTGTGAAAGCAGCAATGCCATATTGACTCATGCCCAGCCTGTCAAGCCCTGGTCACTTCCAGAATTTTCTTGCACAAGCCAATTACTCCTCATTAGTGCTTGGGTCATATAACATTTTTATTGTTGTTATCCGTATAAAAATTATCTATGAAATTTAATATTCCTAAGACATTACATACACTGTGCACATAAAAACATGTACTTAAGCAATTAGACAGAAAAAAAACACCTCACTTAATGAACAGCTAAATACTTTCCAACCTTTTTTCATGTACTGAAATGCATGTTAGTAATCAATATGTAAAACTCGTTACATATATACATTTCTTGGTACAACTTTAGACTGGTCAATTGCCTTTATTGATGTGCATTTGGGTATTTCCAGCTTGTGACCATTATGAATAATGGAGCTATGAACATCTCAGAATAGACTCCTTTTTATCTCTTCTGAGTCATTTCCTTAAGGTACATACTCCAAAGTTAACCTGGTTGAAGGACAGAAACAGTTGACACATCTGATTTTCTATTGCTTTGTGTCTTACTGCTCTCCTAAAAGCCTGGGTGAACTTACAGAGCACATTTTGTCCCCTCTCAACTCTACCAATAATTTATATTAGCACTGGCCCATGTTGGTACTGTGATCATTGTGCTCTTCCCGGGTGAGGCAGACCAGTCGCCAACCATTGGTCTGCCGCTCACGGCAGCTCACAGCAGCTCACAGCAGCTCACGGCAGCTGCCAGCCGCTCACACTGACTGCCGACCACTCACGGTAGCTTATGGCAGCCCACTGCAGCCCCACTGCAGCCTACGCCATTGCCAGCGACTCATGGCAGCCCAGCTCCTGGTCAAGCTGTTGTTCACGATCTTAGCTGTAGAAGGCACAGATTCACTGGCCCATGTGGGATCCGAACCAGCAGCACTGCTGCTCAGAGCTCGCGCTCCCAAGCCAACTCTTAACCAAGGAGCTACTCGGCCAGCCCCCACATATTTTTATTTTTTTAGCCCAGTGGTTCTTTGGTATATATTGTCAGTAGAAGTGTGCCTACAATATATGGTCATGCATGTTAAATCAAGTTTCATGTGTAAGATTTTCTAGATGAAAATGACTTAATTTTTAATACAGAGACAGACAGGCAGAGATGTGTGACATTAATATTGCTGCATAGCAAATAAAGTAAGAATCTTCATAGACTAGATAATATTATATGAACATTCAATGTTATCAATAAAGTGCCAAACCTTAAAAAAATCATGCATCAATTTTCTATTATCTGTGGTTAAAAACAGAGGTAGAACTTAGGAAATTTTAGAGATATCCACTTGAACTTTTCATCGTAAAGATGAGGTTAATGAGACTAAGAGAGGCTAGGTGATTTTCTCATTTCAAGAGTGGCCACATCCGTCCCTTTTATAATGCACTGAAGCCAAATCCTTTTTATGTCTCATTGGCCAGAAAGGATCACATGGCCTGCCCTGACTGCACCAGAGGCTGCTGGGAAATCAGGGAATGAAATAGGTTAGGCACACTGCAACTTCAAATAAATTAGGGTTCCTCTAACGAAGAAAGAAAGGAGAATGGGTATTGGATAGGCAATCAGCAAGGTCTGTTACATTCACATTAGTGTTTTTGTTTTGTTTTGTGTGAGTGTTACAGGCTGGAACCAATGGTGATATGGCTCCTGAAGTCCTAATGGAAAAAGTGAGTTATTCCTACACCTGTGGACTGGTTTGCAATAGGGTGCAGTATTTATGAACTAGTTGCTAGAAGAACACCATTCAAAGGTTAAAAGGAAAGAAGTCAGTAAAGAGGAATTAAAGCAAAGAACCCTAAAAGAAGAGGTCAGATTCCACCATGATAATTTCACAGAGGAAGCAAAAGATATTTGCAGACTCTTCTTGGCTAAGAAACCAGAGCAACACTTGGGAAGCAGGTAAACTACTATGTAACAGACATGATTCAGGATATCAGTATTGTCCATGGATATTTGGAGAATATTTTGGATTAGTGACAAAGCCTTGGGATTAAGTAGTACTATTATCTTCCCATTATTATTTGCATATTACATGGTTAAGTATTTCTGATACTTTTAAACACTATGAGTGCTTGATACAGAACTATCTCCAAGGTATATTTCAAAGTGAAAAAGCGAAGCGCAAAAGACCATGCATATAAAAGAAGAACAAGAATATATAATTTAGGGGTGGCTGGTTGGCTTAGTTTATTAGAGCGCAGGCTCATAACACCAGGGTTGCTGGTTCAATTCCCACATGGGACAGTGATCTGCACCCTCCACAACTACACTGAAAACAACGACTTGACTTGGAGCTGGTGGGTCCTGGAAAAACACACTGTTCCCCAATATAGTTTATTTTTTAAAAAAAACCTATAGAAATATGAAAGCTACAATCATAAAGTAATATGCCTGATTTTTAATATTACACCAGAACCTAGGCAGCCAAATTACTATAAATCTTCCAAGCAGTTGCCAATGGAGGCTCTACAAGGCTGCCTTAGCTCAAAATGTTTGACTATGCAGGCAAGTTTTTCATTTTGACCTGATATTTTTAAATAGTGAAACAAAATTAATTTGTAATAACTTTTGAAGCATAGCAGACGACCAAACTAACACGTGAGTATTTTGGAATTACATGGAACCTCTACACTCACGTGATACAAACTGTGAAACTTATTTCCCTTGTCGATGCCAACATTGTTGTATGAGTACAGTCAGAATAGACTGTGTTAGAACAAGCAAATCCCAATGTCTCAGCAGCTGAAAGCTAAAAGATTATTTCTCATTCACACAAAGTCCACGATGGGCCCAGTGGCTCTCCAGGGTATCTCCCTTCTGAACTCAGAGATCCAAGCTGCTCCCATCTTACAGCTCCATGGGAACTGGTGGCTCCCAGTTGCTGTGGCAACAAGAAGAGAACCCAGGGAGCTTTGTACTGCCTCAGCCAGGAAGTGACCCACTTCGCCCATCACTTCACTCACACATTTGCTGGCCCGAACAGTCCTCTATGGGTGAGGAGGCTGGCTAGTGTGGTCCCCTGTGTGCCCAGGAAAGAAAGGAGAACCGGATAGGGTGACCACTGACCATCTCCACCGTCCTGACTCTCGAGTGCTGGAAGTGTGGCAGTGGCCAAGGCAGTGCGGGCAGCAAAGTCTTTTTATGATTTCCCTGAAGGAAACACCATCCGCTTGGTGTGTGTGATTGAAAATCTATCTCAAGGGGCTGGCCGAGTGGCTCAGTTAGTTAAAAGTTAGCTTAAGAGCGCAAACTCTGAGCAACAGGGCTGCCGGTTCGAATCCCACATAGGCCAGTGATGCTGTGCCTGAGCTGAGCTGCCGCTGAGCTGCCAACAGGTGGCAGGATGGCTCAGCTGATGTAACAACTACGCCCACAACTAATACTGAACTCAGTACCTTAAGCTGAGTTGCCACCCGGATGGCTCAGTGGACAGAGTGTGTGCTCTTAACAATAAGGCTACTGGTTCAACTCCCGCATGGTATGGTGGCTATGCCCACCCACAACTAAGATTGTAACACAGTACCTTGAGTTTAGAGGCCACAAGCTGCCAACGGGCAGCCAGATGGCAACTGGCGCCCTCCACAACTAAGATTGAAGAAGAACAACTTGGCTGGTTCCCCTCCCCAATTCCCCAACACTGTTCCCCTCCCCCAATCCCCTAATTAAAAAAAAAAAAGAAAAGAAAATCTATCTCAAGCCTTTTGAGCCTTGAGGCCTTGGGCTCTTTTGAACCTTGCCCTTTGCTCAGGGCCAACTCCTAATTCTTTGGAGTATACTATGTCTTTTTAAAAATTTTTATTGGGGAACAGCATGTTTTTTCCAGTACCCATCAGCTCTAAGTCAAGTAGTTGTCTTCAATCTAGTTGTGGAGGGCACAGCTCCTTGGCCCATGTGGGAATGGAACTGGCAACTTTGGTGTTATGAGCCTGTGCTCTAACCACCTGAGATAACCTGCCACCCCTACTATCTCTTCTAATAAACTTTTCACCACTTTAAAAAAGAAAAACTATCTCAATACTTTATAAGCACATTTTGGCTTTATCACATGAAATATTGACAAACTTCTTCAGGAAAATGCCACCTTAAAGCACTAGATCATTGCCTTAAGCTGTTCCATCAAACAAAATCTTTTTATAAAGCATCTGTTGTTGTGACTAAAATAAAACTGTTTACAACATTAGATAAAAGGCATATAAAACCCAGATGTTCAGTGAAAAAGAAAACCTTCCAACATTTTCATTTAAGCTCTTTGTATTTTTTTAAAAAATCATTTAAATAAGATAACATTTGATTAATTTAGTGGGTGTCCTCCAAAGGGGAGGCAAATGCTGTCTAGGCATTTGCCTCCGTGGAGAGGTCCAATGCTCCCTCCTTGTTGCGTTTAAAAGTGTTTGAAATAAACTAAAAACCCTTCTCCTTTAGATATCACTAAAGAGGATCTCTATGGGTCTATGAGTTAGTTTTGCAGAGAAACCAAAAGCTTTTCTGAGCATCTCATAGGGACTCCAGGTAGGGTCAACTTGGTGTTTTCCAATACAATAAAAGGTGAAGACCACTTAAATATTTTGCAAGTTTTATTCTGATAAGTTAATGTAGCAAAAGAAGAGCAAATACCCACACACATCTTGGGCTGAAGCGTTCCTCCAACACACAATTTTAGGCTAATAACCACTGTTCTAGGCAGACCGAACCCCACATTGTGGACAGGTGGTATCTTGTCTTCACTGACTGGTATAAAAAAATCCATTGTAATCACTGTGTGGGTTTCAATAACACAAGATCCCTGTTAATGCTCAGGAATATATTCCACTCCAACAAGCAGAAGTCTTCCTGCAGCTGCCTGTTTGGCTATTACGAAAGATGCTGCCTCCATCAATAGCCTCTCCTCTTTGTTCAAAGTGCTCTGCATGATGATAGGCCAAAAGAGCCCTGCACAAAGCTGCCAGGGCAAGATTCAAGAGTAAAATCATCTTCATGTTATTTTTAATTACAGAACTGAGGTGAGAGTCACTAGTGCAAAAGATTGAAGTGATCAGCTTTGTGGTGGCCTGAACACGAGTTAAAGGAACAGAGGTTGGAAAGCCTAGTGTTTGTTAGCATCGGCAACCAAGGATATTAATTAGAAAAGGGCATTGTTTTGGTTTGTTTTTTAAAGATTTTTATTGGGGAATTGGGGGATGGAAACAGTGCTGGGGAATTGGGGGAAGGGGAACAGACAAGTTGCTGTCCTTTTGTTCTTCAGTCTAGTTGTGGAGGACGTTGCTTCACTGGCCCAAGTTGG